TACATGAAAGTTTTATATAAAATTTGTGTTGTGAATTATAATATTTATTGTAATGTTTTATTTAGTGAAATTTATTTATTTACATATATATCTAGGAAAAACGTAATTATTTTGGATGGGCTCATTAGGCCAGGGGAATGGTGGTTCACCTCGGTTGGTTATAAAAGATGGGCACCTGGATTAATCAGGAGTCTTAGTAAGTAGTCACTACTGATGGCTGTGCTGCTCTAGTAGAAGCAAGTTGACAACTACTTATCGTGCTGCATAAACTAAATACATAAAAATTTATATAAAAACTCATTTTTATTATTAGATGAAAGATCAAAAGGATGTTTTTTGTGCAATTTTCTTTATATCCTTTATAGAAACTGGATGTCAATGTGGGGCCATGAATTTGAAAAAAAAAAAAAAATTCCAGATTTTAATGAAACTTGCAGAACTCAATCAGAAATGGAATTTTATTTTTTAAAAATCTCTCTTTTAAACAAACAAACAAAAAACTTTGTAGACTTTTTTTTTTTCTTAATCTTTTACCCTGCTACTCATTGACATTTTGAAATTCTTTTTTGTACCATTTGAGGTTTATATTAGTTATAAGAAAAAGTCCTTAGAGAATTTAAATCATGAAATTTTGGGGGTCAAACAAGACCCTCCAGTTGCAGAAAATCTGCTCTGAATTATAAAATAAAAAAATACAATAAAACAAAGATATTATTTAATTAGATAAGCTTTTAATTGTTTTTATGAATAAAATATATTATGGACACTATTATCTGAAGAAATCTTTTTTCACTGAATAATGAATTTTTACAAGAATTATTTTCATTTATTAAAAATTTTAATTAGACTAATTTATATACTTTTAAATCTGTTAAAATTCTGTATTAATTTGTAGCGGTCATGTGATATTTTTATTAAATTAAAACTGTATATACTAAATCATAAATGGAAAAGCTTACAATTCAACAACCCCCACCCGCAGTATTTTAAAATGAAATTTGAATTTATTTTATGTATGTATAAACGAGTTGATTTTTATAAATATGGATGTCCACACACAACATTATCAGAAAATAAGGGCGGTAACTATAGTAAATTTAAAATTCATGAATAATTTTCTAACATTTCTTCAACAAGTGTCTGTAAGTAAGTCTATAAAGCCAATGTACATAAAATTTAATAAATTATTAGAATGTTTAAAATATTTAAGTTTTAAGAATACTGGGTAGTTAAAAAAATTCTATAAAAATATTCATGGAATTTCATTATAATTATCTCCTCCAACATCAGGCTGTCAATAGATGTGTCAACACCTCATAAAAACACCCACCTGTGTTAAAAAATGCTTTTCTGCGATATTTTAAACTAAAAAGTAATATTTATCTCAATTCAGATTAATAAAACTAAGTCGGCTAATATTTCTCAAATGACATTTCAGAAAATTACATTTTATTTTTCAAAGATTTTTGCAATAAAGAGAATTTTGTTGTTTACATTTGTCCAATTTTATATAATTTATTACTGATGGAAAAAAAAACCCTAATTAATTTAAATTCGTTTTGAAATACAGCAAAACATTTTGTTTATGGGAAATATTAAATTTCATCTATTAGCTTGGAATTAAAACTAAAAGAAATGCTTCAAGAAATATTTTTCATTTGGTATTGCTTTTTGAGGCACACACACACACACACGGTGCGATGGGTAAATTGTCGCCATTGTATATTTTTAATTTTGGACATGTACATTTGTTTTGTTTTTTTTGTTTTTTTATTTTGATGACTGCACAGCATTGTAGGGTCAGTTGGGCACCGTCTGTGAGAAAAAGAGTAACATGATACAATTCACTTTGCCAGAAATTTGGAAATGGCTTGGCATTCGAGCTCCAATACAAACATTTTAGAGTGTCAATCTGAGGACAGTGCAGAAGATTCAGAAAGAGTTGGATGAGTAAGGGTGATTTACAAAGGTGTTTGGAGTGATCACAAGTGATAGTGCCCTGCATCTTTCCACAGAGCCTCAGACTCAACACAAAGGCCTACATCAAGAGGGTGGCTGCTGTAAGACCATATGTCTGGCAACAGGACTCTGTACCATGTCACGCACAAGCAGGAGAACCAAGTCATGGCAGTCAGACAATTTCTGTGACTACATCACCCCTTACATCTGGCCACCTAACTCCCCGGACTTCAATCCTCTTGATTATTATGTGGGGTGCAGTTGAGCGAGAGACCAACAATACTCTCTGTAACACCAAAGATGAACTGAAGGCAAGGATTATGGCAGCATTCACCAACTTAAACGAGGAGAGCGTCCAGAAGAGTTGCAGGAGATCCAGAAGTCGTCTGGAGGCTGTGAGTGAAGTCAATGGCGATTTTATTGAATAAATTTACTCTTTAGTATTTCAAAATATTTTAGTGTCATTTTTGCATGATTTACATGACAATTCATTCATCGCATCCTATATAATACACACACACGCACACTTAGTTGTGCTACCAGTGAGGAAAAAAAAATGTATATTTCTTATCAATATAAATTATAGCTCTGTTATTATACATTGAGCACTATCTTATTAGCACCAGCACTCAATATGATATAAAATCAGTAATCTGTTTTTCTTAAATGTAGTATCTTTTCTTATGGCAACAATGTCCCGACATGAAATCATTTGAAAAGTAAAAGAACAGAGAATAAATAAAACAACAAAGGTTAGAAATAAGACAAGTACAAGAAATGATCAAATTATTTTATCAAAGTATTAAGTAACACAATTAAGAAGAGAAAAATATTTTAAAAGAAAAGTAAAAGATCAAGCAAGGAGAAAAGAAAATAGCAAAATGAAAAAAAACTATAAAATAATTTTTCAAGTTTGATCTTAGGATACAGAACTGTATCAGAGCTATACATGTGTGTTGTGAAGACAATCTAAACATTATTAGATATTGTCATCACAACAATTTTTTTTTGTTTTGCTTATTGATACCAATTCATTCATCATGAGAGTCTAACTAATGAATTGGTATCAATAAGTAAGACATAAAAAAACTCGAAACAACAAAAATAAGATGTTTTTTTTTTTAAATATGCATTTCAAAGATCAACTAAAAGACCAGGAGTGTTTCTTCATCATTGGAGCAAAACTTTTGGCTTGCATAATAATTCTACTCTTTTAATAGCAAAAATCAAAGTAAAAAGTGTATGTGGGATGGAATGAGAGAGAATTTCTTTTTTGGTTACTTTGAAAATATAGTAGCCAGAATTATACTTTGACGGATCTATTTATCTTTCATTCAAAATTATTTTTTTTTTTAAATATGAATAATCTAGATAAGCAAAAAAATTGTTTTGAAGTGAAAAACGCACAAAGTTTTTTATTGAATTAAAAAAAAAAAAAAGAAAAGAAAAAGAAATCAATAATCATTATTTTTTCAGATTTTTTTTAAAGGTAAAAAAAAAAAACAAAAACAAAAAAAAACTAGCTACTTTTTAAAAGCAGAGAGAAAATCCAATTTTCAACTAAAAGTTTTTGTAAAGGTACAACGGCGAGAAAAAAAGATTTTTTTCCTCTTTGATCTTTCTTAATTTGAGATTAACCATAAATCCACTTTGCACAAAAACAAAAGTTTTTTTTTTTTTTTTATATATTTCTTCATTGTTGCAATTTCTAAAAAAAAAAAACGTATGTGACAGGCTAATAATGAATATTGCATTGTGATTAGATTTCTTTTTCAGTTCTTTGATAAATTTCATTTAAACACCACTCATGTATTTCTTCGAGTTTTAACGGCTCTCAAAAAATTATAAATACATTCTGGTCATATTTTAGAGATAAAAAAAAATAAAAAATAAAATCAGGCTATAACTTTTTTTACTTTTGAAAAGGTATTATTTAAAAATATCCCAATCTTAGTTTTTTTTTGACTGAGGAGGAAATCATTTTTAAACTTCAAAACGGAAATTTTCAATTGAAAGAACTTTAAAGTAAAAAAAAAAAAAAACTTAAAGAAATATAAACATCTAATTAAATTAAAGTGCTTTTCCAAAAATAAATCAATAGTTTCTAAATTGGGGTGATGAAAATAACTAATTATTAAAAAAAAAAAAAAAAAAAGTTTTTTTTTTTCAATACTACTGTTTCTTTTTCTCATAATATCGAGTAATAAAAAAATTACTAGTTTCATTATTTTTGTGTTCACCACATTAGAACAAAGACTTAAAAAAATAAATTACGTACGTATGTAATTTATAAATAAAGGAAACTAACAGAACACGAGAAAAATGTATTCAAGAAGTTATGAATTTTATTTTTGTTTACAATAATTTTTTAGTCATTTAACGTTTTTTTGGGGGGATATATACAAAAATGTATTTTTTAAAAAGAATTTCATAACAAGTAGAATTATCTATTCATAAATTTGCCCAGAATTCTTTAATTGGAGATGTCTAGTAAGAAATAAAAGGAATCCGTATGTAACTCAGTAACATCTTGCATAAAGGGTAAGACATTTTTACAGACTACAAAAGAAAAACTAAAAACAAAATAACAATGTGTCAAATTTTTTTACATCGTGGACAATTTCAAAACAAAAACATTAAAATCGAAACTTTTTTTTAAAAAAGGTTACTGTTTACGTCTATTAGACTCAGCAATGACAAAAGGTGTGGAGACATAGAAATGTCTACAAAATAATATAACATAATTGAATTATGAACTTGTTTTAAACAAGAGGACATGAGGCATACGTACACGTTTTCTCACATTTTTACAAGACAGTTTCCCCATACCACGCGCGAAATTTAAATAATCACACCTTATTTAAGTCATCTCTTCAAAAAATTATATTTAATAACAGAAAATCTCGATTTTTAAACAGCGATTTTATAAGAGAATATTGCAATAACAAGCCAAATCAGGATCTGTGCTAATGAAAATCATGGAAGCTACGAAAAGCATGTAAACAACACGAGTAAATGTGTGATCATTAAAGCAACGGTACCTGGTGGTAAAGCTGGCCCGTACAAGCCAGACATAGCAAAGCAGTCGTGTAGATCAATTCACAAGTGTAGCAGTAAGTATTTTGAAAATGCTTCTCGTCCGTTAAAGTTTGATTTTCCTCTTTTGGAAAAATATTCAACAAGGCAGGGAAGACATTGACGCCATGTTTTCTGAACGCTTCTCTCAAATGATGTAAAGAAACCGGAATGACTATTGGCTAAACATCTGAAGTCGACCAATCACAGCTTTCGACACATTTTTACACGTCAACTCTCAGAGTGCAATGTGCGCAAGTCTAAATCGATAATAACCACGTCGTCTATAGTGCGATAAGTTTTTATTTCTAAAATAATCTAAGACTTTTGCTTTGTTTGACAAGTCGTTTCGACTGGTGTCCGATTAGTTTTCGTATATATTTTAGGATTTGACCATGCCAAAAGGCAAAGGAGGCAGTAGCGGCAAGCCTAAAGGAGGTAAAGAAAAATCTAGTGATGCTAGTGGAGAAGGAAAGAAAAAAGAGGCAAAAGGTGGCACTGCTGTTAAGGTAAGTATTAAAATATGGCTCCGATATTCAGAGAACTTAAAATAATTACTTGATTACTTACTTTAGTGCATCATTTTACTTATAATTATTGTCATGTAACGCAAACAACAGTGCATTATTTAAATAAATTAGTTGTAAATGAAGTATTTTTTTTCTTTTTTTAGCAAATTGTCATCATTATATTGCCAATTTGAATTAAGACTTTATTTAGTAACGAAGTAATCGTTCTAAGTAACGTCGTTAATCGAAATAAGTACTACGCAATTTGCTGCGTTTTATTTTTGTTAATTCTCACATCTTTTCATAACTTAAGACACTGGATGGCTCATTTTCGAACTTTCTAATTTAAATTTTGTTTTTGGTAATAGTAATTTTTGTATTTAAATAAAGAAAAGTCTACAGATCTAAAGGGACATAATTAACTTCCATTTTTTGTTTTTGAGCTAAAACAGTCTCACGATAGTTTTTTTTTCCTTTTATTTTTTTAATGTGCGCGATGGAGCTTTTAAAAAGTTGTGGTCCCAATTGTTGGTGACGTCATGTAAAACTGGAAACTATTTTAATTTTAAAAACATTTTTTTTTCTTTTAAAATATGAAAACAGTTATTTTAAAATCTAAATATGATTACAGAAATTATTATTAAAATTAAAATAGCGCGGAGCTTAAAGAAAATTAATTACCCATTGAACATAAAATAAATCCTTATTAATTCCGCCGAAATAAAAACCTTGTTAATGTTACCACTAGTGGATGTGCTTTTTCTGAAATGAAAGCAAAAAAAAAAAAAAAAAATCACGGAATTCAAGGAATTATTATCCCATTGAGCAAAATTTCATTAAAATTATTGAATTAAGAAGAGAAGAAGACATTTCGTTAGAAAACTTTCTGGAAATATTCTGAAATTGGTTGGGAGTGTCATTTTCAGCCTTTCCCCTTTTTGTATGCACTTTTTGATTTGGAGAATTTGCGATATATTTTTTTTTTCTTATAAAGAAATCCCTGAAGATTTTTTTTGAGTAACCCACCCCCCGCCCCCCAAAAACAAAAACCAAAAACCAAACTATGCAGTATCATTCAAACGTGAACAGGTAAATTTTGGTTTTGTTTCCCGAGCTCTAATATCCCTTAAAATTTTTCCAAAATTGTCATGTACAATACATGCTGAACTCGAATTAACAATTAAATTATGAAGAAACCTTACCGTTTTGGAGTTATCGACAAGAAAAAAAATCGGACTTCTTGTTGGTCATTCGTCCCCCATTACTGCCATCATGATTATTGATTCACTGCATAGTACCTACGCAGGCGTAATCGGAAAATTTGGCCTATTTACCTCTTTTACAGACTTTCCTTGCAGAAAATCACTACGCACTATGTAAACTTTTTAAACTAAACTAAAGAAATGTAATTTTTTTTTTTTTTGGTCAGTGTAGTTTTATTTATAACAAAAACAAATTAAATAATACAACAGAACCTTTTTTCAGTTTCGAATGACAATGACAAATTAAAAGAAAAAATTAAATAATAAAAATAAAGTTTGTAATGGGGGACGAATGACCAAAAAGTCCGTTTTTTTTTTTTTGTTTTTTTCTCTTGTCGATAACTCCAAAACAGTAAGGTTTCTTCATAATTGTTAATTTGAGTTCAGCATGTACATTTGCACGGAATTATGACAATTTTGGAAAAATTTTAAAGGATATTAGCGCTCGGGGGAAACAAAACCAAAATTTACCTGTGACGTGAACATAATTGAATATTAGTCCCAAACCTCCCCTAATTAAAAAAAAAAAAAAAAAAAAAAAACAAATATATTTTTTGTTTTTTGATCGTTGGTGTTTGATTGTTTGCATTATTTTCTTTCAGACTGGACAGGAAAAAATATACATTATTCAGTGGATATTTATTAAAAAAAAAAGATATTTGCTATTTTGAAAATATCCCCGACCTTACTCTGTTTGTAACGAGTTATTTTTAAAGACTACTTTTTTTTAATTTTTTTTTTTAAGCATTAATGAGCGTGAACCATTTTTAATAGAATTTTAAATTTTAGCAACATTTAATATTTTTGGGGACGTAAGTTCAAAAAGGAAATAATTCTGAATTGCCTTTGCTTTAACTGACTACTTTTCCCTATCGAAAGAGTAATACTGTATTATTCAATAACTCTTAAAAACAATAGGTGTTGTAAGTGAATATTTTATGGCATCAAATACATAAAAAAAAAAAATAAAACCAATAGATTAAAGTAAACTCAATAGTATCATTTCACTAGATTTCAATTTCTTTTTTTAACTTCTAACGAAGCATAAAAAATAAAACTGTACTACTGTACATAAAAACTGTTTTCATAAAAACATAGACTAAAAAAAATATTCTTAAACTACTGATAAAGTAAAGAAAAGATTATTAACCTATATCAATTACCAGATTATTGCACTGCTGGTGCTCTGTATTTCTTTAATTTTATTTTTTTGCGAGCTTTTAGAGTTTGGGATAAAGTAAAAAATTACTATAGCTGACCTATGGCATCACAGACTGTCGTGTAAAATGTTAGTTTCATAATTTTAAGCAAAAAGTAAGTATTACTTTTGTGAAATCCAGTTAATTAATTACTATATTTACTATGTTTCTAAGGCAAATATTGAATTTTAAAATTTGTTATTTACGTTTTTCATCTATAATGGGGTTTTGATAAGTGATGCATAGTTAATATTTTAAAAATGCCTAAAAAATTATTTACATACAGAAATTTATTCTTTTAATATGGATTAGCCTTTAGGGTATTTTCTTTCAAACAAGACCAAAATTTAAATTGTTTAAAATGCATTTTTCAAAAATCTGTGTTGTTACATAGTATTAATATATGTGTTAATTGTAACAACTACATTTTTTTTGTAAAATATTTTATTCTCTTAATTAAAATAACTTTGTAGTTTCAGGTTAACGCAAAAGTGTTCACTGCCACCACAGTGAGTCGGTACATACGTCATCACGTGTAAGTCTGGGGATCACAACTGTAAAAACTACCATAATAGCTTAACAGACTAGCTCTGTACAGGAACCATTACCCCACTGCAGGCAAATGTTCAGTATTTTGGATAGTTTTACTTCACCCTTTAAGCTTAAGTAAAAGACAAATCGGGTATTGCGATTCGTGGTGAAATGTGTCTAAATCACAGAAACGCGTGCCATTTCACGATAGCAATGATATTCAGAGAACTTAAAACGATTACTTGGTTACTTATAGTGCATCATTTTTACTTATTACCATGTGACATAAACATGTCAGTGCATTATTTAAGCAAATTAGTTGTATATAATCAACACACTTTTTTTAAAGCCATCTGTCAATTATATTATTGTCAGCTAAGACTGTTTTTTACATTTTTGTAACCTTTTATCAATTGGAGATAATTTTAATAAAAGCATTTCACTTTGTTCGTTTCATTGTAGACAAAAATGGCTGCAAATTTTTCTCAACTGAATTATTCAATGTCATCTTCATCATCTTCAGATGAACATTCACCAGTCAAAAAGAAACGTGCACGAGGGCCACAAAAACCCTGGCATTTCAAGGAAAAAATTGCAATGGAAATGTTACAGGATATTGTGGTGGACTGGAGGATTAGAGACAGACAATACACTGGGGAGGGACAAAAAGTTACATATGAGTGTCGTCATAAAAGAAAAAACATGCAAAACCCCTGCATGGCCGAAATGTTGGCGCACTATCTTCCAGACAGTTCTGACATTAATATATATCTCCATGGCGAACACTATCACGATGAAGCGCTTCCTCATAAAGGCTTGAGTACCGAACAGAGAGAATTTGTTGTTGCACAATTTGAAGCCAAAATTTGCAAGCCAAAACAAATCCTTCAAGCATTTACTGATCATAAATTGGAATGTCCATCACTAGACCAGGTTAAGAATTTTTTAGTAAAATACAAAAAAGAACAGTTTGGTGGCTATCAGCTTTCTTTGGGTAAAATGGGAAAATCGAATGATGCAGGACCTGATACACCTTATGTGCTTTCGTGATGTCCAGCTGGAAAGTAGAAATAAAGGAAATGTGGAAAATAAGCTTCTGCATGTGTCCGATGTTTTTGAAAAATCACCATTGTCACCAGATATCAGCTATGGGCCTTATTTTCAAGAAAGCACTGAAGGACAAGAGTGCAACAAGATGGAGAGCCGTCTTTGTTGGACGGAAGAAGCGAGGCAGGCCGAGGAAAGCAATGTCTGCTCTAATAGTCGACTAAATTTGTATAATAAATCTTATGAATAATTTGCATTTGTTTATAATAAATTTAAATTTAATTCATAATAAATTTGCATACTTTCAAGTTTTTGACATTTGATTTAATACTTTCAATCTCACAAAAACTCATTTATGTAATGCACTAATCAATTTACAGTTTTAGATAAATTTGGAAATAAGTAGCAAAGTAATCGTTCTAAGTAACATGGTTAATCAAAGTAAGTGATGT